TAATGGTAAAGCATCTGTAAAAGCCGCCGGAATTAACAAACAAAGCTGTGAACTTGTAACGCAACTTCCTTGCCAAAAAGTGCAAAATTACCACAAACCATTAAAACGTCCTAGTCTACAAAAAAAAATTCAAGTCGCTAAAGATATGAATATTGCTATTTCTGATACTGCAGTAACCGAAGCTAGTGCAAAGGATTTTTTTTATATCACTTGTACGATCTGGATTAACAGATGAGGAAAATCCTGTTCCTTCTTGGGCTGGAATTCAGGCCCTGATCTCTCAGAAGCACAAGATCATCCCACTGAAGAAAGTTGGGTTTTTTACCCATCATACCATCTCCAGTCACAAACTATTCCACAGTATTCACAGCTCTTAAAAACTTTCAAAATGTTCGCGCTCAACTTGAGGACCAGCCTATTCTACCCGTTTTCTGTGATGAAGGTATTTTTCACATTGTTGCAGAAATTTTGATGAACAATCCAGCAGACTTCTGTGATCTTTATTTTATGATGGGTGCCTTTTACATAACGGAAGTAGCATTGCGATGCGCAGGAAGTTATCTCAGTAGTTGTGGAATAGAAGATGGGCTTATTGAGACAGATATATGGGAGTGAAACTGGTCCAATCAGTGATGAGTGGTTCCCATTACGTGCGTTCGTTATAATAAGGTATGCTCATTTTATCTGAAACACTAGACACATTGCGTTAGTGCCTTTTGAAAAAAGAACAACAAACTAGATTTCATAGATCTGATTTCAGAGGTGAAAAAAGCACGAGATGCACTTCAAGCAAACGACGTGCTGCAGAGCCATAAAATATTCGAGGCATTATGTTTAAAATCACAGAACTTGAAATCTCTCTTCGAAACGTTTGTTAAGGAATGTGAAGAGAAATCAGAACTATGTAAATACTGAGGAAATTTTCCACATATAATAAATTTAATAAACAACTTAGTTCATGCTGATCGGGAAGGTGATTGGGAGTTGCATGTGAAAACTGTAGTCACTGGTTCCTATTTCACGAATTTGATTGCATAAACTACGTAAAATATGAATCGTGGTATATGGAAAGGGTAAAAAAGATGGAAATGGAAAACCCTTATCCCTACAACAAATTCCTACAAGGTATATGTGGTGAAAGATAAAGAGGGTAGAGTCAATTCTGTAGCTCCGGATATGAAACTGGAACAGAATATTTAAAGATCACAGAAAAGCTCAAAGGGGATAGTTCGCCAGACACGTGAGTGTGAGGGTAGGAGTTGGTATACCACGAAATCCTTTCGATATGCAATAGTTTTAGAGACATCACAAATTCGAAGCTAATGGACCATCGTGAAACTGTGCCTCATCACGAGCTTCTATGAAAGAGAGGAGAACATTTTAATAATGAGAACATCAATGACCTATAAACTTCACGTACCTGGAATGGCCCGCCGATCTATAAATTTGCGGCAGAGAATGTGGGGTACACCCATCTCTATTTATCTTATTGGCGAATCATGGAAATCTTTCCTTGTCTAAAAAATATTTTATTCGAGGTTAGGCATATGCCAAACCTAACAGCAATGAACTGGAGAGAGAAAGGAATCCCCCACTATGTAGCTTTTTTGGACGCACTAAGCGAGATGACAAATGCCATACAAATGCCATATCCGACAACGGTCGGTGCCATTCCAGATACGTGTAGTTTATAGTTCATTGGAGAACATTGACCGCCTTGTTCGTTTTATGCAACAACACGAAAATCCCTTCGAAACGACGCATCCTTTACGATTCCGAAACTTTGTGATTGTGACCAAACAGTTTGTGAATGACGATATAAAAAACGTATTCTAGATGTCCAACAACACGCATTTGAACTATATACCTAGGTATATAAGGAGTTGAAGCAGGAGAGATTTGTGTCTAAATTAAAAAGCTTCTTTGACACAATCTCCAAATATAAATATCCCCACTTTGATAGTCATAGTACGTCCCACAGTGAACCAGCAATTACACAAAGGGGAACAAAAAAATCCTTTCTCAGGCACATAGGGATTTGGATGTAGCGAAAGCAAGGGATGAACGAATCCAAGATATTCTGTCCTATGATCTTTTTCCAACCAATGCTCTTTGATGATGATGGAGATTTCCCAGTAAAGCCAGTCAAGCACAGGCTAGTGCAAGAGACTGAAAAAAACCTCTCACGTGAAGATTTAAGATTTGACCAAATGTCTTCCCTTCAAACTGCCGTTGTTGTGGATTATATGTCGCAATTACGAATGCTCAAAATTTCTTCAATGCCAAACTTTGGAGCAGCGCTCCGTACAGTACTGCAAACATCGCAAGCAGTTTGTCCATTGCAGGAGCTACATATCGTTTTTGATAGTTATCGCGACTTATCTTTAAAGCAATCTGAAAAAACCAGACGAATGTCTACATGTAAAATAATTGACCTAATTCTACTTCCGTACTTTGACAAATTAGACGAAGTTAGAAATTTCAACTCTACAAAATATTGCCGAATCTTCGATGAACACCGCATTTTCAATAATTGTTAGTGCAATTACGGGAAATGAGGAAGTGATTCCAACAGAAAAATATTCAAAAGGCAATGGTCGTATCGTTGAAGATAATAGCACATTGGAGGAAGCTGACCTTCGTATTGTGTCACACGTTGACTGGGCAATTCGAAATGGGTCACGTCGAGTTCTGGTTCTGTCAAATGACACAGATGCTGTTGTGCTGCTACTAAGATTTGTTGAATTGTTTTTAAATCAGGGATTATCGGAGCTATGGATATGTTATGGAACTGGAGAGAGAAAACGCCTTTATCCCCCTTCATGTTCTCTATAGAAAACTGATGCCTCTAGGATTACTCAATGTTTTGATCAAGGCTCACATTCTTACTGGTGATGACACTGTAAGCAAAGTTGAAACAAAACTTGGAGCCCTCACTGCTGATCCGGTGGAATTCCTGAAAGAATTTGCTGAAACTGAAAAAGAAAACGATTTTGAAAAAGCTGAAAAATATCTTGTGTGTGTCTGGAAAAGGAGTTTCGACTGTGAAACATTTGACGATCTGCGGTACAGTAAATTCAAGAGATCGGTCCCTCTTACTGACCTTCCGCCGACATCTTATTCCACTCAAAGTCACATTAGAAGGGCATTTTATCTGATTGTTTAAATGTTTCAAATCCAGCCTACATAGAGAAAGATCCCTGTACTGTAGCTTTGGATGGGAGTTAATCGAGTTCTGAAACCTGTAAACTTTTTAAATCGTTTGCACACCGAAATTACACGTGTATGTTCTTGAAAAACCTGTGCAACAAAAAGATGCCCTTGTCAGAAGGCTCTACTTATAATATGTTCCACCTACTGTAAATGTACTGTTCAATGTTGTAAAAACAAAAAAGTAAACAGAAATATATTTGAACATAAGGTGATCTTAATATTAGTTTACACTTAAGGGGATTTAAATCAGCTTTTAGTAATATACTATTTGCGTGGATAATTACATTGTCTTTCATTTTATCATTAATGTTTACATATTGCATTTGTATGTTGCAAATGTTTGCCAGGCCAACTACCTATGTAGGTATAGAAAATTAAATAAAATGCGTCATTACTCGTACATATTGATATACAGGGTGTCCCACGAAGTTTTTCCCAAATGATAACTTCGGAACGCATCATCGTATGTTCCACTGTATAATTTTTTTATCATTTTCTTCAACAAACCCTTAACAGATATGGTATTGCCGATTTTGTAATTCAATTTTCGAACGAAAAATGCCACAATATACCTACCATGAGTTACATTTAAGATTCGAAAGTTGACGTCACTTGACCAAAATTGAAGAAAGTGGTGAGTTTGGATGAGAATGGTAGAAGCGGCACAAAAAGTTACCCAGATCCTCAAAATTTCAAATATATTGGATGACGAGTTCCGAAGTTATTACCTGGGAGAAACGTCGTCGGACACCCTGTATATTATTATTTGTCTACTTTAGAAATAGTCTAAGGGTTAATCTGAAGGGTTCAATTTTTGCCAGTATTATATTTTTGACTCCTAATAGGTATAGGTATCTAGATTTTGATACCAAACTGAAGTCTGTATGCTTTATAGTTCCTGAAAGACAAAATAATGCTGAAATCATCCGCCATTTTTAAAAATAGCCCACAAAAACCAGTTGCGCCAAATTTGTGATGTCTACCCAAGTTAAATCCCTTCTCTAATACACCTAAAATACAAATTCAAAATTGATTTCTTTGGACATTTTTTTCACGAAGTTATGCTTTGCGGACAGGACAAATAAGAAAACAGCGATGTAAAAATATATGGGATATATCAATTTAAGAAAACTGAGTTTCTTTGAAGCTATAAAAATTCAATTCTTTACTCGGTAGAATGATAAAAAAGATTTGTAGAACGGACTTAAAATTTATCGAGTGATTGGTTGAACTGGAGATTTCGAGGATATTGAAATGCTTTAGTTTCGACTGGGACACCCTGTATTAAAAATAAGTATGTATTATGGTTTTTCTTGTATTGGAATTCACTTATTAGAAAAAAAAATTATTTACACATTATTATTGGAGCGAATTTTGGCAAGCCTTATTGGGATTAGATTTGTTTTATTTTTTGTATCTAGTAGGTAATTTTGTTATAAAGTAGATATGTTTTTAGGTCATCCCAGCAGGCTCAACCTAAATATAACCAGTGTAATGAGAAATTCTATCTTGCTATAATTTGCTTTGATCTGTTCGTCATGAATATGCATTGCAAAAAATCAGTTTTTTTTTTGTCTAACAATGTTTTGGTTATAGAAAAGTGCTGCGTAATTTGGATTTTTCATTGGATATTAATGCCCTTACTTTGGCATCAAATTTGTCTGCCACTACGTCTAAAAATATTAAGCATTTTCTATAGAATACCTTACCTAATATAAATGGTAACCAAAAAAATCAAAAATCAAATAGGTAAGAGGTAAGTCATGTTTTTCTGTTTAAATACATACACTTTGTGGGGAACTGGCTCCATTTTCACCATTCATTTTTGGTAGGTAAATATCTGAAGAAGAAATAATAAATTTTATTAGAACTATATCCAAATTAAACCATCGTTAATTAATGAGTTAAAACAATGAACTCTTGTCCTTGTGTACAGCTAAATAACCTGTTGTTCCAGTTCCAGGAACAATATGGAAAACGTATCCAAGGCACAACAAATCAATGTTTTAACACGAACAAGACAGACTACATTTTAACAAAACGCACACATAAGCAATAGGACTCACTTGTTTTTTCCTGCTAGTGCCAAAAACAGAACTTTTGCCGCATTTATCTCAATATTACATTCGAATTTTTCTTATGGAACTGCAGACCGCAGGAGAAATATGACCCATATTGTCCCTTTCCCTTTAAAGGGCAGGAGGAATTTGATATTTCCTGCTACGTCCTGTTCCGCTTCACCGCTGGTATAATATAATAGAAAAGGATGGATAGAGGATTATTGAATTTTTCTTGTGTAAAGTAAATTTGCAGCGCACAAACGCTAACGCGCTTTGATATTTTTTGCAGGACTGGATTATTTCTATTTACTGCTTATAGTTTGTTAAAAGCGATGTCAATTTTATTTGACTTTCCTACGAGGTAGAAGGTAGACATACTTTTTGCCGAAAATTGGAAATTATCCATAGACCAAAATAGTTATTTGAATTTTGTGTTTTGAGAACCACTTTTCCACACGGTCTATAGACAGCTATTGTTTAGTAGGGTTTAGTCGAGGTGTGAAAAAAGGGTTTTCAAACCATTTTTCTATAACTGCAAAATAAACAACCAAAAACGTAAGTAGTAAAACAAGCAACATCAAAAACTGGTAGCAGCAATTTATGTTGGATAGCCAGGATAGGATCCAAATAAATTTTTAAAAAATTAGCAGCGTGCGGAAAACGGCATTTTCAGAGGTTGTCCAGCGTGTCGTAAATTCCATTTTCAGAGGCAGTTGTAGAAAAATTATTATTAAAATCAACTTGTTAAAATTTTGATATATCATTATTAATTAATCATCTGATTTTGAGATATTGCTAGCATGATAGGGCATCTACGTTGTTATACAGTTTACCAGAACGATGTAATTGATTTGAAAGTTCTACTGTACTGTTGTAACTTCTCAAGGAAGAATAGAATCTCAAGCCATCTTGCTATCTGTCCTTCTGGTTGTTCTATGTTTAGAAACCATTGAAGCGTTGCATGGTCTGTTCTTATGAGAAATTCTTGTTCATATACATATAGGTACTTTGCTCTCATTTCTTGTAACGCAGTGATTTCTCACAGGCTTAGTAAGCACTCTGTTATAGCAAAGTTATAGTATTCAATGACTCTTCTTTCTCCATTTTGTATTTGCGGCAGAACAGCTCCTATACCTGGCGTTGCTCGCCTATGTGTCCAAAATAATTTTTTCCTGTAGCCTTATATAAACATATAGCTGCATTTAGCCCTTAGACTATCTTTAGCCTCCCAAAAACAACGTCACAGTCGGTGTTCCAATCAAAAAGAGCTTTTTACTCTAGTTATTTACCTATTATCCTTTTACAAATCGTGTGTGGTATACAACTCCCAAGGAAACTTCTGAGTTCATGTTTGTCCCGAGGTCGAGGCCATTCCTAATTTGCCTGGATTTTTTTATTGTCAATATGATTTCCTTCGGGTGGAACTACGTGGCCAAGGAAATCAACCCGCTGTTGAAAGATTGAATTTTTCTCTTCATTCAATCGGATGTTATTGCCTCACGGATACCAGTAAATACTTACGTGGCTGAAGTTAGCTTCACATTCATATTCAGATTCGTGCAGATAACAGTCGACTAGATAATTATTAAAAAGAAAAATTTTAAAATTTTCACATGGAGAAATGTCAGTTTAAGGAATACTTAGCGTTAAGGCTCCCCTAAAATAGTTGGTGGAAACGGCTATAATTATATCATGTAGGGAATTTCTGCGATTCGGAAAAGGTAGAAATAACTCTTAGGCACATTCGAGGATATTTTTTCCGGTCAAGTTAGGTCTGGGAAAGTCACTACGGGGGAAAATCCATAATTTGTTTAAAAATTCAAGGAAAATTAATGATGCTTCCTATAGTCAGTTTTAAATTAGTATCAAAATTTTCGGAAAAATTTGTAGATTACGAATATCGTTTGGGCGTGACCTGTAGGATTGGCAGAAGGGAAAAAATACCCTTTAACCACCCCTACGTGAAAAAAAAATATATTTTAGCTAAAACAAGATAGTCGAAAATGCTTCCAAAATAGCTATTTATACAATAAGTTACGAAATGAGCGTCTTTTAGGCACGCGACGTGAAAATTGTCCAACGAGGCAAAGCCGAGTTGGACAACACGTCGAGTGACTAAAAGACATCGTTTCGTAACGTATTGTATACAAGATTTTTTCTACTGGCAATTTATAATAAAAAAACACAATTTTATTTCATGTGAATAAGTCGATTACACCCAAAATCTTTGTTACCTGTTTTTACTTGACACCTGACACTTTTCATGCGATTTTCTTTTCAAAATTTGACATCAATAATTAAAATCCTAGAAAGTAGGTAATAACACAAAGTTCTGTTTTGAGTAACCCAAACGTTCAATTCAGTAATTCCATTTTCAATATTCATAATAAATACAAAACAAAATTCAAATATGTGTTTAGTGTGTTTTTTATTTCTGAATAATGAATGACACTTTTAGGCACTAGTGCTTAAAAATTACTTTTACGCACTCATAAGTCACTTTTACGCATTCAAAAGTCACTTTTACGCACTGAGTGCTTAAAAGTAACTTTCACGCACTCAGTGCCTAAAAGAATGTCATTTCAAAACTGAAATGACAATCGAAAAGTTGCTATTATGAAACGTCAGTAGAAAAAGTTTATTTTCATAGCTATACCTTGTTGAAAAACGAAACGTCAAATCTCAAAATTGATAATAAATGTCATCTTGTAGAGTTGGAAAAGTGGTAACGATGAAGCGACATTTGTTTTGAAATCTCTCCTCAAATAAGCTCAGGAAAAAGTAAAATCAGTTTAGCAAAATTTTGGTTTTTTCCGGAATCTCGGAAAATGTTCGGAATTTTTCAAATGTCAAAGTACCATTTTATTAACCGTTAAATTCCGCAACTTTTTTCTCATTCAACCATTGCCGTATCTGCTACCGTTCACGATATCCCCATGGTAGACATCCTTACTGAAAAAAGTTAAAAAAAATACAATTATTCGTCATCAAATTTGCTATCCAGAGCATAGTCAGAATCAGTGCCATACGTTGTAAATTTTTGCATTTGCTTTAGTAGGTATTCGAACAACATTCTGGATGAGCTTCACATTTACACATTTCCGTGCAAAATATATTTTGTGCAGAACATTTGCATCTTTGAGAACAATTTTTTTCATTAGATTAATTATTCCTTCAGGTGCGCAGGGAAGATTACTCATAATTGGTTCTAATTCCAATCAGTGTGAAATTTCCAAACGTAATTTGTTAGAGGTGGTAAATTGGGGTCAGCCTGTGTATTCCGATTCCACTAAATGCACTGAGTGGTATCTCTCTACTGTCAATTTCAAGGCTGCTCGAGTGGGGGGCATATTTTCGGTCGAAACTTGCCTCTGCGAGAACAACCACCATCTCAATTCTGCTAGGCTTTTCACACTTTTCACAGTTTTCTTCGACGGTGAATATAATGAACATATAAAAAACTCAATCTGCTCCATATCAGATTCACTTAACGTTTCACTTTTGCCCAAAGATGCCAACGCCTGAAGCATGGATAGGGACAAGAGTCTGGGGAGCAGACAGATGGAGCTCTGAAAGATTCCGAATGATATCATAACCATCGCTCCTCGTGCTGCCGACGCCGAATAGACCACGGCCACAAAGATTGCGTGTATAAATATACGATACCTAATTTAAAAAAAAATAATTATATTTGGTGCAGAAAACCAAGCTCGGATAAAACGATCATTATTAAAATACAAATTTAAATATGTATTTATCAATGTTGTTTATTGTTACCAATTTTACAGAATTATTCCTGAGATAAATCTGTGGGTCGAGAATATTTCCGCGATCATCACAGGAATAATCCCAGAGTTATGAAAAAAAAAAATCGTATCTAAATTTTGAGCCTTCAAAGCTTCAGTACTTTCTAGTTTCTATACATCAATGTTAGGTACTTTTTTTTGATGAAATTGCTGAATACAAAATATTAGGAACAGTAGGTAACGTTATATTTTATAGACAGGGTTGAATGGTTAAAAATTGAAAACAAATACCCCAAAATTAAATAGGTATGGTCTATATGCCCAGGTATATGTATTTTTATTATAATGCAAAATTGTTGCAACACTCACTTATTTAGTCATTTTTAAATAATATTTGGTCCAAAAATTATTGAAATATGTATATGTCTTATGCCCGTATTACATCTGTGTATTTTTCCGTGCATTTATTGATGTATAGTTTAGGGTGACAACCGAAAAACCTCAAACGCAACATAAATCAGCATTATGAAAAACAAAATGTTGGCACTTTGAACTAAATACATGAATAAATACACGGAAAAATACACAGATGTAATACGGGCATTACTTACAGGAAAATCGTGTATACCTCTACATACGAGATTTTGCGAAAATTATACCTACCTAGTGTGGAAAATATCCTACATGGTACGGTCATTAATAACATAACATTTAGAAGAAAAAAAAATTCTCTTCTCTCGTACCTATGACTAAATAATAATAAAATGTGAATAAAATACGTTCGGCGGACGGAACTTCGACGCCCTCCGCTTCGAACGCTTCGCGACACGCTGACGTTCGAGAAAGTTCGGAGCTCCGTCTGTCTATTCCCCAGACTCTTATTGGATGGGGTTGCTCCCAAAAACTTATTTTACCTTTTCGTTTGAAACTTCCTAGGTTATATCGGCACCCGAGAAATACAGTTGAAGCTTCCAATTGCTGGATATTATACCTTTTCGCCATTCGTTCCATTTTTTTTTTTTTTTTTAAATTTCTTTTGTAACATTCAAGGTGCCATTTCACTTTCATGTCTTTTATTCTATCCGATGTAAGCTGGTCTGCTGTTAAGGCAACTATCGGTAAATTGCTCCTGTTTCGGATCCCATTTCTTGATTTTCACCAGAGTTTCAGCAAGGGTGTTAGTTAGCAATCTGCGATGGAGCTTTCATGAATCCTTCATAACTCTTTAGAGTACACAAGCAACACTTATCACTACTTAGGGTTTCTTAACACTTAATATAGTTTCTCAATAGCTTCAAATCACTCTCCATTCTCGTCCAAATATCAGTCCGCCGCCTAAGAAGTTTCACTTCAAAAATAACACTTTTGCCTAAACAAAAATGGCACGGATACTCGGGGGTGTGTTTAGAAAAGGGCACGGCTCACAGACG